CAAATCCAACACAACCAACCACACCCAACACACCACCAAAACACAATCAACACACCCCCAACACCAACCGGCGCCATCGTTGGAGACCCAGCCAAAACGGCACGCCGGCGAAGCTCCATCAACAGCAGCGCCCTACCTGCTCCGTCCACATGAAGCCAGAAACGACCAAGGCCTGCCTCCCTTTCCAGCTAAACCTCGCTCACCTCTCCCCACCGACGACAGCACGCACGAACACCACCATCAAAGCTTAGCCAACCACACCACCGCCCCGCCCAAATCCCGCCAGCAAAACGGCGAAACCACGGGCAAGCAACTAACACAAAAGCAAATAAACTCCAAATTGGGCCAGCACCAGCCAAGGACCTGCACAACACCAAAAGCCCAAAACAATCCACACAGCAGGCCCAAACCTGAAGAACAACACAAGGCTTGAGCGGAGGCTACAAGGCAGAGAAGCAGAGTGCGAAGAAATCACCTCCCGTTCCATGATTCGTGCCAAACCAATCACCAGGCAACTAGAATAACAACAAAGATAAGCATAAATCCCGGATGAACAACTAAGAATTGGTACAAATCAGCCACAAATGCCGGATTTCCAGCCGTGTCCAAGAAGTACCCAAAGGAGACGGACTCACACCAACCCTGTTCGGATAAAACCCTAAAAAAACACTGGTATGATGGCCCGAACGTAGTCCCTTTCCCCCGTTGGAGCACCTTCGAACACCACAGCCACAACACGCAACCTACCTCTGGACACCCTACAACCAAAAACAAACCGTCCGAAAACAACCCCCACACACCGAACCCAAACAGAGAAACAGGAAAAAAAATAGTAAAGAAAACCGGAAAAGGAGGGGGGAGCCGAAACTCCCACCCCCTGGCAAAATCACGAAGAAGGAGAGGTTAAAAAACAAGGATTTCAAGACACCAGAGAAACAGGAAAGCCAAGATCCACACCCAAACAACCTCTACAGGTTAAACTGCGGCATTTTTGTGCTCAAATACATAGAATGCTTTGTGCTTAGATATCTAATAGAGATAGTTTCAGCAGACAGAAAGACTATATATAGACGGAAAATTACAACTGATATTTGTTTAGC